CCATTGTTTAATCGTTATATTAGTGGGAAAATTAGGGAAGAAATTGGGAGATTAGGGCTTGAAATTGGAGAGTTTAAATTCGGGATTTGAGGGGCCATTTGAGGTCCAATTTTGATGATTTTGGTATGTATAGACTCGGAGTGAAAGGAGTTTCTAGTTTTGCGATTTTTGTTGGATTCCGAGATGTGGGCCCGGGGGCCGGGTCTGAGCAAATTCGGGATTTTGGGTCTAATTTGATAATTTTCGTGTGGGATTCATTCCTTTAGCGTGTATTGATAATAATATACTGATTTAGGCTAGATTCGAAGCATTTGGAGGCCGGATCGAGAGGCAAGGGCATCGCAGGTTAGAGTTTTGGCTTGGTTTGAGGTAAGTAACGCTTCCAAACTTGGTTTTGAGGGTTCGAAACCCTGAACTACTTGTTCTATGATAATTGAGGCGACACAAATGCCAAGTGACGGGCGTGTAGGCGTGCACCATGAGAATTGCGGCCTAGATCATTCCATGGCACCGCTTAGTGACTCTTTCTTGTTGGTATGTGTGTTGTGGTTATGTGAATAAGTTAATGAGCTGTAAATCATGCTAATCACTATGTTAGGCTTCACGCCGATACTGTTGAGACCCAAGTGGTCGTTTCTTGCTGTCATATCATTAGTTTCATTGATACTCTGTACTCAGTCTTGTTCATGCATATTCTATTATGTCTCAGTCTCGGTTATTATTATTTGACACATTATATTATTGTTTCGGGCTAGTATTATGGCATTGTGAGCCCGTGTGTGTAAGACTGGAGAGTGATGACTGAGTGAGGCCGAGAGCCTGATTATGAGTGACAGTATGGGATCGGGCTGCACACCGCAGCGGATTATTGATTATGCCTTCGTTGGCTTGTTATAGTGCTTGGGCTGAAAGGAGCCCCTCCGTGGTCTACACACCCCCAGTGAGCGCAGTTGATATTATTAAGGGATGGATCTTCCCTGGACATGGATCTTGTCCGAAGTATTTATACCTGGAGATGGATCTTCTCCATAGGGCTGGAATGGCCTTCCTCGGTACTGGGTGATTGTGGTCATTGATGTGTATATATTTCGGGATGGATCTTCCCTGGGCCGGATGGCCATATACAGTACCGAGTGGTTGAGCACTTGGGAGTAGAGGTACATGATACATTTTTCATGCTTTCTGTGCATTGGTACATAGAGATTTGCTGAGCTTTATACTCCACGCTGTTCAGGTTGTATTTCCTTACTATTGAGTTGAATACTTGAACTGCAAGCATGCCTACTTTACTGTACAGTTTAATTATGTTACCTGTTGAGGTTTGGTTCGTCACTACCCGTCAGTCCATAGTTTGGACTTGTTACTTACTGAGTTGGTGTACTCACGTTACCCCCTGTACCTTATGTGCAGATCCAGGTATCTCAGGGCACGGTAGTGGCTGTTGACTATTCCAGTCGCGGATTTTTACGGAGATAGCGAGGTAGCTGTCTGGCGATCGCAGTTCCACTTTTCTCCTTATCTATCTTCCTTTTAGTACATTGTTGCTATTTCCAGACTATTTTGGTCTTGCCTTTGTTTCGGAAATATTGTAGCATTGCTCATGACTTAGTGACACCCGAGGTTGGGCTTTTACTTTCTGCTTTTGTTTTGGTTTTGACTTTATATCTTTTATGGGATTTCAATTGAAAAATGATTTTATTTAAGTTTTAAATGGAATGTGGATTATTTTGGAAATGTGTCGGCTGGCCTAGTTTTACGATAGGCGCCATCACGACCGGATCGGTTTTGGGGTCGTGACAACTGCATTCGTACCTGTAGGTATAGACAATCAGTTTGACGAGCCCTCATAGTAGACGAGGTCAGCATTCAACGAAGGATCGGTAAGTCTCCACCTCATTCGGAGTTGCAGCCGAGTCTATGAGTTATCGTGTTAGAGTTTTGCTACAGACTTATGGGTAGGCCGGTACCCTGTCCCATTTGATGTCAAATAATCTTAGAGGCTTTGTAGATAGAGGTTCATTTTGTACAGTATGTTAAAGGCCTTGACGGCCCATATGTATTCATGTTTTAAGAACGATAGTTTATTGATACAGTGTTCGCCCACTTACAATTATACATTACGAGTTATTGCCATGTTGGCCCATGGTGGTCATAGAAAGAATGAGTTACAGAATGGTTCGCTCGGGCCAGTACGGCACCGAGTGCCAGCCACGCCTCCCCAGGTTTGGGGCGTTACAAATTTAATCTTCATTGGATCTCGAAAATATTCTTTAAATTAATAAATATTAATTTATCAATTAAATAATACATCTACAAAATAATAATGGGAAACTACCAGCTATGTCCATTTATAAGTAGCTTATTATAAAAATTGGCCAATTTATAAAATATTAATAATATTAGCCAAATATTACCAATATTAGCCAATTAGCTATTTGTAGCCAAAAAAGGATCAAAGTTTTGCTTTCTTTTGAGTGTGTTTTATTAGAACAGATTGGATACATCTGTAGAAACTTGAATCTCAATTTTAGGAAGATTTGGTGGAGTTTTGAGGTGGTCTGAATTGAAAATCCGAAGTAGAAGACGAACATGAAAAAATGGTATGTGTATCATTTGTGTATCGCATATGTATCATATATGTATCAAATGTATATCACATGTATATCGGTGTATACATGTGTGTGAGATACATGTGTCGTTGAAGAATTTTTTGAACACGATTTTAACTACAAATTTTAATACCAAATCAGTCCAAATTACCTCCAATCTCCCTCAAATTTTGTACATTAACTAATTTATATGTTTTCAATGAATTTCAACCATACCCATTGAAAAGGGTCATTTTTTACTTAGATTTTTGGAATTTTGTGTATATATATATATATATATATATATATATATATATATATATATATATATATATTTTGTATATCATCACCTTATTTGCTACCTCATTCATGAAAATTACCTTTCCGTCTTGCATCTAATGTTGCTAATGACACTTAAAAATATGAAAGGAAATCTTTATGTGTAATTTTTGGAGAGAAAGAACCTTATTTATTTGGGTTTTCAATTTTTATATGTGTTTGGCTAATTTTGGTAAGTCTATGAGTAATGGCCAGAGGTTGATAAGTTGAAACTTATTTGGGACATTCTGTAAGATTCCCAATGATAATATTTCATGGTCCCAACAATATTATTATAGCCCGTTTGGCCAAACTGCAAAAATCAGCTTATTTTGAAAAGTGTTTTTTTTCAAAAGTGCTTTTCTCAAAAGTACTTTTGGTGAGAAGCTACTTCTTTTTTCTGCTTCTCCAAAACTGCTTCTGCTTCTCCTCAAAAGCACTTTTTTTTCCTTCCAAAAGCTTGGCCAAATACCTCAATTTTTGGCCAAAAGTGCTTTTGGCAAAAAAAAAAAGCACTTTTGGCCAAAAAGAAGCTTGGCCAAACAGGCTATATTTAGAGAGGTTCTACTATACTTGGCCTCAAGCTTAGAAGCATGGTAAGTCCAATAGTACAGTAGCGACTAGCGACTAATGTTTCATTTGAATTTAAACTTAAAATATTGTATTTTTCACTTGAACAATTTACAACTTGACAATGATATGCAAGTTGAACGAAGACAACTTAAGTATGATATTCAGTTGACAAAAATACCTCATAATATCGTGGTCAACATGATTTAAGTTGTGCTTCAATTGTGAATCTTTATCGCCGATGAAAAGAATTTCATTAAGGCGAGGCGTTTTGCATATGCCTCAGCGAGGCGTAAACCCCGAGGCATATGGCATAAGCCCCATGAGTATTTAATATTTAATATTTTATAAAATAATATTATTATATTAAATATTCACAAACAGATAAAATTATATAAAAATTAAAGAAAACTATAAATATTTAAATATATATATATATATATATATATATATATATATATATATGTGTGTGTGTGTGTGTGTGTGTGTGTGTGCGCGCGCGCGCGTGCTTCATCCCCACAAAAAATTAGTCAAAATAATTATTATACAAGCACAAGTAACTCGAGCCGAAAAGAATAAAATTTTTTACATGGAGGAACAAATAGGATGAGTAACCTACATTTGAAATTTGAACTTGCTGCTATGAATGAGAATGGAGTTCTCTTTGTATTTGGAAAAAAAATTGAATATTTATTATTTTGGGATATATTAGCAGACTAACGAACAAGATAAAGAATTGGGAAATACCATAAATTAGGGCTTCGATCAATAAAAAGCTCTTGACTTTTAAATTTGATACATTTAGTTCCTTTTTTAAAACTTCTGAGTAATTACAAGCTGATTTTTGAGAATTTAGGTATTATATGAAGGACTTATTCAACAAATTTTGTTTTAATTTGAAAAAGTCTCTGGGGCTTACGCCTCACTAAAAAGACGCACCTCAAACGTCCGGGTGTACGCCCCGAATTGCTGAGCATACGCCTCTTCAGACTTTCGCCCCACACCATTGCCTTGGGGCGTTTTTGGTGCGCCTCGCCCAGCCCCGAGGCTCGCCCCGAAAATGCCTATTAAAATACCAATGTAAACAATAAACAAGTTGAATAAAGACTTTAATAAAAAAAATTGATTATTAAATTTACGACTCATAGTATAACATTTTACTAGGATTCTCATAAATTAAGGAACTAAAAGGAAATCATGTAGAATGAGAAGAAAACTTGAGGTTCATGTATTTTACATATATCACTTATCATAACACTTTGGTCACTGAAATCTAAACTGAACTATGATTTATGACCTCATGGCTCATGGTTAGTGGAGTACTTAGTAGTGCGTTAAGGAGAATCTCATAATGCTGAGAGGAACATGTGTGTAGAAATAGAAAAGAAAACTTGAAGTGAAGGTTTTGTGTAATTGACCTACTACCACTCATCATAGCTCTAATATAATGCCAAATTACCATATTATATTAAATGATTAAAAGCTAAAGTAATAATTAAACCCTTCTCTCTCTTTCTCTTTCTATCTCTGCACTCTCACTTTCAAGGAAATAAAACAAAAGCTTACCATTCTATTCCTTCTCATACATATCCATCCCCACAAAACACACACACACACACACCAACACAAACACGTAGACTATGTAATACGCACGCTAGGTCTCTCTCTCTTTCCCCTCTCTCTCTTTCCCCTTTTCGTCGTGTCTTTCTTTGAGAACCCTAGAAATCTCAGGTTTTTAAGGAAAAAAGTGGGTTTTGATTCGGTGGAATTTTCACTTTTTTTTCTCCTTCTTTGCCGGTGTATTTATGGGGTTGATAATTTTCTAGAGAATTTGGTTGTGTGAGAGTGTGATTCTTGTTGTTAATGGAGAGATCCAATAGCAGAGATATTAAGGGCTTGGCGAGCTCCTCCTCTAGCTCCATCTCAGGTAGCTTCACACTTCCTTTCTATTCATTCTTGAATCTGCCGATCGAGTTTCTACTTTTTTTTTGTTGGTAAAATCTGCTCGATTTATTGTTTTAATCTTTTTACCTGTATTGTAATAATGAATGACAGATGGGATTGAGGTGTAGTGATTTGCTAATTTCTTTTCTTTTTTTCTTTTCTTTTTTGGAGGACGGGGGAGAGTGGGAGAGGGGGGTGGGGTTTAAAATGTGCTTTCATTTGTTGGAATGCAATGGGTCTGATTAACCACCTAAGATTGTGGGGGAGGGGTATGTACCCCTCCATCCTTAATCAGTGATTTCGGGTTCGCAACCTGGGAATGGAGTCTCTTTTGGTAGGTAGTGATTTACGTTCCAAAGTGGGACTTCCTGGAATCTAGATTAGTTGAGCTCCAATGAAGGTACTGGACACTGGGGGAGAAACCAAGAAGAAAAAGAAATTGGTCTCAATAGAGATAAAGGCGATTCTTATAGTGAATCCACACTAGTTTGGCATTGATGTTAGTACTTGTTTGGTTTTCTTGGAACTTGAAGTTTCTCTTCTTCAATAGCTTACTTTACAATTTAATTTTGTGGATTTTCTTTGTTTTACATGTTGTCATTAGTATGGGAAAAGAAAGTCAATGTTCTACTTTTTGATTGTGTAAGGTATGTGGAAGAATTGACTGCTTATTTGGATTTTTTATGCAGATAGTGCGCTCTTCGATGCATCACAGTATGCATTCTTCGGGCGAGATATAGCAGAGGAAGTTGAATTGGGTGGTTTAGAGGATGAACAAGAGAACAATGATCTGGCTGTTGGAGGTGTATTAGGTGACGACGAGATACATGAGTATCATTTATTTGAGAAAGATGAGGTACAATCTGCTTGTACTTTCCTTTGGATCTTACATGAAAAGTTTTCTGCTGAGGCTTGGATTTCTATCAAGGGTGTGAACGACATGTTCTTCTACTGGAAGTATAAGGAACTGTAGGCCATGAAATTGGGGGAATTGGTTAAAAGTTATTGTTCATTTATGAGAAGATTATACGAATAATATCTAGGTTTTGCTAAGCATTTTACAGTTGGTACTTGTTTTCAGTCCATGTGTTTGTGATCAGCACTTTGAATTTCAATCTTGCATGAAACGAGCTAATTTAGTTATTTTGGTAATTGAATCATCTATAGAAAGAAAGTTTGCAATTCTGCTGCACCCTGCTCCCTTCTCTTGTTGCTTTATCACCTTAGCACCTAAACCCTCCCCCATACTAATTTCAAAAAGAAACTTACCACTTACTCTACAATCATGAGCCTGCCCCTTCCCTGCAGCTCACCATAAGTCTAAGTGGCTACTGAGGTTTTACGATGATGTTATCCAGGCAGTGGTCTGATTTTTCCAGGTCTGATTGCTCATTATGATTTTTCATCAAAATGCTGTAGCTGCCATGAGGGTGTGGGGCTCACTCATCAAATATGGGCTATCAGTGCCTACTGCAGTTTTTAAGTGATTTACTAGTGATTTCAGCTTAGGTTTTATGTGGCTCTAGGTACTTCTATTGGTCGAGACATTGATTGGTAGCAAGATTTTGAAGAGTTTTAAGATCAGTGATGCTTTGTGCTGGTTTTGGAAAGTGGTAGGAGAAGAAAATGGTAAAAGGTGGCCGAAGGAGATGAGTCTTTTTGTTTATGTTTAAATAGTTAGGTACATATTACATAGGTTGAATATATTGTCTAATTTCTTTTAATAAAGCTTGAATACGTTGATCACAAGAATCCAAGGGTATGGCCTAATGGTTAATGAAGTCGGTGCAAATCTTACCAGGGTTCATATACCAGCAGACAAAACATTAGGAGCCTGTTTGGAAAGCCACCTAGGAATTGGATTTGGGTGTAATTGGATGTAATTATACAATTTGTCATGTTTGTATGACCAAGTAATTACTTGATCAACATGGAATTTGGTGTAATTGAAGGGGTATAACTAGACCCTCTCAATTCTCGAGGGGGAGGTAAGAGATTGGTGGTAATTATGCCGTGTAATTACAAGCTAGTGTAACTTTCTATTTTTTAAATATATTAAGTACTATTATTTTTACGCAATTTCTCTTCAATTTCTCTTATTCTCCCTTTCCAACGTGATACTTATATGTACTTTCATTTAATTTTGCGACTTATCATATTTTACTTCTTTATTTTTAATTTTTCTTTATCTTTCTTAGTTGTTAAACACAATGTCGTATTTTACTAGCTTTATTTTCTACATGTATATCTTTTTGGTATTTAAATAATGAAATAAATCATAAATTTCATTTTGTATTCATATGAATGAGTTGGTAAAAAATTAAATATATAATTGGAACTTTTAATAATTTTCTTAAGTTAAGATATTAATTATTTGAAAGTTAGTCAACTTACCGATTATTCTTTACGAATTAGTTGCCATCTTATAATTACTTAAGACTTTTCTTTAAATAAATATGTCGTTTAAAAACCTAGCTATAAATAATATATGATATTTCTTATACATCGATGTATTTTTTACACATTATAATTTGCTTGCTTTGTATTTTACTAGTTTTGTTTTTTAGTCATTAGTATAAATATTTGTTATAGAGAATACTTTTTAAGCTCATATCTAACTTTCTTATATTCACATAAGTTGGTGAAACAATTAAATTTGTTATTGGAATTTTTATTAATTAATTCAAGGAACAATATTAGTTATTTGTAAGATACCGTTTATTTTTATGATATTACTATCAATTTATAATTTTCTAACAAATTTCTATAGAATAATATTTATTTTAAATACCTCATAATAAATTATTTTTTAATATTTATTATTTACATATATGTTTGTCATATAGTAAAACTTATCCACATGTTAATCTTAAAAAAATATTTAACTATGTAGTTACACTTGTCCAACCAAACTGTAATTATGTTGTAGCAAACAAACAGGTCATTGTAATTACTATACGGTGTAATTGTCAGGGTATGTAATTACTATCCTAAATTACGCATGGCTTTCCAAACTGACCTTGGGTGATCTCTACACATCGGCTTAAGCCTTGGTGGACATAGTTACCTGGTACTTGTTCTTGCGGGAGGTAGTAGGTATCAAGTTGAATAGTCGAGGTGTACACAGGCTGGCCTAGACACCACGATTATAAATAAAATGTTGACAATTAGAAGAAGCTTTTTAGAAGTTGGACTTAAACTATACTTTTAGGAAAAACTTTGCCCTTTTATTAATCTTGTTTGTTGATTCTACGACTTGCTCAAGGACTTAGAAATACTCTTTCTTTGTCTTTGATAAATATCTTTGGACATGCTTTAGAGTAGCTTTCTCTATATGCGCTCCACTTTCTGTTATTCTGGATAAATGTTTTGTCAGTTGGTGCTAGAAAATTTGATATTAAGCTGTATTTATTTTATGAGTAATCTCCAAACATCTTTGTTACCATTTCTATTATGAACTCGCCCTTGGTGATGTGAGTATGCTATATTTGCTGATTATCTCGATAAATTGCACGGCTTTGACAAATTTTCCTTTATACTGCCTCTAATTCAGTTCTTTATTTCCAGGGATCAGTCTTGAGCTCTTTATCAGACTTAGATGATCTAGCAACAACATTTTCAAAGGTCAGCCAATTCAGCACCTATTTTAAGTGGCAAGCTTGATTTTATTTCCTCATGTTGTGAGCTGTCCGGCCTGAACTCTTTTAACTTTTTCTGGTGGTGTACCTTCATAGTGCCATGAATCTTTCTTTTTGGTCCTTTTCCGTGAGACAGTATTTTTTGAAAGAATTGAATTCTAACAGATAAGATGCGGTAGAACTTATATTTTGTAGTGTCACCATCTAAAACACTTGAACTGTGGGTTGTGACTTTTTACATCATCTTTTCTACAGAGCAGCGAAAATCTACTTCTTGTACTGGATCAATCTAACTACTTACTTTTCTTTTCTCCAGTTGAACAGAAATGTCACTGGACCAAGGCATCCTGGTGTCATTGGTGACCGTGGATCAGGTTCATTTTCAAGGGAAAGTAAGTGTACATATTGATTCATTTTTATGTCATTCTCTGATGTTGGTATCTGAATATTTGACAAATCTCTTGGACTAGTTTATGTTTGCCTGTAATATAATTTACTTGTTAACTTGCACATGGAACTTCAGACAGTTGTGGCACTAGTCCTAGATTTGTGCATCTTTTAGATATCAGATAAAGGAACTTGATTTCAGACCTTGGTAGGGAACAAGTTATGGATAATCAATACCAGTCTGTTTCATCTTCGTGCTTGATTATTATAGTCAGCAATAATTCAATCTTTTGGAGACAAATATTTGTATGTGCATGGTAGATGTCTTACTCCTTTTTGCCCTTCCTTCTTTCTTTTTGGGTTTCTGAAAATCGGCAATCCTTTATCATTGCTACTACAAGTGGAAATCATTTGAGATCGTTGTACAAAGTAATGCATATTACTTCATGCTTCTGGATGATTACAAGGGAAATCTATCCCGGCATGTGCCTTTTGGGCTGCTAGAGTGGAGAGCTTGAAGAAGATGAATTGATTCATCATCTCCATTTATGTGTTGATGTACTAGTTTTGTCAGTTTAAGCTTAGGAGAACACACCCCTCCCCCACCCCCCAAAAACTAAACCTCCCAAAAAAAGAAAGAATGGTGACATGTAGAGCGTAAGGTACATAGTGGTTTTCCCGATAACTATTTTGTTTGTTGAGACGAGAGTAATCTTCATGCCCCTTTCTTTTTCTTTTAATTTTTTTTTGTTCTGTTTAGCTTGTTTTCTTTTTCTTTCTGCATCTCCTTCCACTTGCTGGATTTGCTGCTCCTATATTGCTTTGATGAGCTTGTTTTCTTGTGGTGCACGAAGTTTGTAATCACTTACTGATGAATGAGGTATAAATTGTGCTATCTGACTTGCAGTCTCTGTCAATAAATGTTTGGATCGTCACATTCAGAAGTTAATTCCCAATTTTAATTACCAGTTCTCAATTTTGAGTTGCAGTTTAATAATTATGTTATACCAATATATGCTTTTAGAGATGTCTTTGGGGAAACGGACATTTTCATAGTAAAAGTAGGTCCATCTGACACGGCATATTAGTTTTCAGAGAGTAGAAAACTAACGTCTAATTTTCGTTGGAGTTCTCTCTGAATTAGCTCAAATTTGACAAACTTGAATTTGAGTTTCTTTGGTTGTCTTTTATGTCTAGTTTAGTATTATTATATGTTGGATACTTGTATTCTCCCTCTGTTCCATTTACATGACATTTCTCCTTTTTGGCCTGTACTGAAAGGATTAACATGTTTCTGTGTTTGGGGAACTCTTTACTCTTAACACTTTTATTTTGCTCTTAAGGACATCCTCTAATGAGAATGAGATGGCATGTTGAAAATAAGAAATACTAATGTGTGCTTACATATATAGCTTATATGCCAAAAGTTTTTTCTTAAACCCAGTGCCATTCAAATACTGTCATATAAAATGAAATGGAGGGTGTATTATAAGATCTAGCAGCATATAAGCTTGTGAATTGTGCATGTCTGTCCTTGCTCTATGAGCGTGAGAAAAAATGTACTGATGTTTGAGCATTTAGAGGAGAAATAGAAGAAGCTATTAGCTTGGCTTGACTTCAGCAGCCTATCATCTTCCATCATTCCATTTTTCATTGGTACTGTTTCCCGCTTTTCTTACCACTGCTCAAGTCACGAATGAATGATGTATCATGCATGTCTCACATATTCTTATATGCATGTTCAGCTATTAGCCTATTACAAGGTACTACTGGTAACGGTTCTGTTCCTTGGGGATAATTTGCTTGGTGATCTGTTTGCCTTTTTGCGAAACTAGATTGCTGTTGGGCATTGCAATCATTCTTGTAGTGGCTTGCATGTAGGTCTCTTTAATTGATAGAAGTTATTTGCAGGTTCCTCTGCAGCTGAATGGGCGAAAGAAGCAGACTTTCATGATTGGTTTGATCAGCATTTATCTGACACTGAATGTTACCAGGAAAGCAAAAAATGGTCCTCACAGCCACATATCTCTGCAGTGCATCTTGCAGAGTCAAAACCATTGTATAGAACATCCTCATACCCTGAGCAACCCCCACAACCCCCACAACTTCAGCACTACTCAAGTGAACCCATTTTATTACCCAAATCAGCTTTCACTTCTTTTCCTCCTCCTGGTGGTAGATCTCAACCCTCACCACACGGCCTTTCGCGACAAAACATGTCATCTCTTTCTGCTGGACCTCAGTCTCCCTATTCGACTGCTAATCTCTCTTCTTTGTCGAACTCTAATATGCATTTGACTGGCTTGCCTCATGGGCTCCACTATGGTGGAAACATCCCTCAATTGAACCCTACTGGTCTCTCTCTTAATACCAGGTTGCAAAACCAGTGGAGCAGCCATGCAGGACTTATCCATGGGGACCATTCTGGTCTCTTAGATAGTGTCTTACAGCATCAGTTTCCTCATCAAAGCGGTTTATTATCCCCCCAGTTCATGTCCCCGCAGCAGCTGCAGCAGCAGAGATTGCATCTTTCAGTTCAGCCGTCTTTAGCTCATTTTTCTGCACTAAGATCTCAATTGTTTAGTTCCTTACCTTCACCATCTCATCTAGGAAAGTATGGAATGGCTGATTTGAGAGATCCACGATCTAAGCCATCACACAAGGTTAGACAAAATGTGCGCTTTTCTAAACAAAGCTCTGATGCTGCTAGCCACAAAAGTGAAAGTAATGTGCCACAGTTCCGATCCAAGTATATGACTGGTGATGAAATAGAGAGTATCCTGAAAATGCAGCATTCTGCAGCACATGGCAGTGACCCATATGTAGACGATTACTATCACCAGGCCCGCCTTGCAAAGAAAGCAGCCGAGTCGAGGTCAAAACATCGTTTCTGCCCAAATAAGGAGCAGTCTTCTCGGTCACGTAATAGCACTGAATCACAGCCTCATCTCCATGTTGATGCTCATGGACGGGTTTCATTTTCTTCCATCCGCAGGCCTCGTCCACTTCTTGAGGTTGATCCACCGGGCTTTGGTTGCATTGAAGGCAGTGGTGAACAGAAGATATCCGAGAGATCTTTGGAACAGGAGCCAATGCTTGCAGCTAGAATTACTATAGAAGATGGTTTCTATCTTCTCACTGAGGTAGATGACATTGACAGGCTCCTTCAGTTTAGTCAGCCCCAAGATGGCGGTGCTCAGCTCAAGCGGAAGCGGCAGATCCTGCTGGAAGGCATGGCAGCCTCACTTCAACTAGTTGACCCACTTGGCAAAAGTGGTTCTGTTGGGCTTACCCCAAAAGATGACATTGTATTTCTGTGGTTAGCGTCTCTTCCCAAGGGCAGAAAGCTCATCTCAAGGTATCTTCAGTTTCTTCTACCTGGTGGCGAGCTTGTCAGAATAGTTTGTATGGCAATTTTCCGCCATTTGAGGTTTTTGTTTGGCGGCCTTCCACCTGATCCAGAAGCAGCTGAGACCATCACCGATCTTGCAAAAATAGTCTCAAAATGCGTCAGTAGCATGGACCTTAATTCACTCAGTGCTTGTCTTGCTGCTGTGGTTTGTTCCTCAGAACAGCCACCTCTTCGCCCTCTTGGAAGCCCTGCTGGAGATGGAGCCTCCATTATTCTAAAATCTGTTCTTGAAAGGGCAACTCATCTGTTAACTGATTCTCAGGCTGCTAACAGCTTCAGCATGCCTAATCCTGCCCTTTGGCAGGCATCTTTTGATGCCTTTTTTGGTTTGCTTACAAAGTATTGTCTGAGTAAGTATGACAGTATCATGCAATCCATACTAGCACAGTCTCAGTCAGATGCTGAAATGATTGGTCCAGAGGCTGCAAGAGCCGTAAGCAGAGAAATGCCTGTGGAACTTTTACGTGCTAGTCTTCCACATACAAATGAGCACCAAAGGAAACTGTTGTTAAATTTTGCTCAGCGGTCCATGCCTGTTACTGGATTCAATGCTCATGGTGGAAGCAGTGGACATATAAATCCTGAATCTGTAAGCTGTTAGCTGAGATGGTAAGATTTCATAATAGCAAGTGCAGTTGTACATCTGTAGTTCTCAAGGTTACTTTCTGGCTTCTGTTTGCCAGAACATGTTGTTCTGCTTCAGCATCAGTCTAGGAGAATATAGAAGGCTGGAAGCAAGGTATATGCATATATGTTGGGCGTCGTTTTAATGCCTAAAGTTCCTCTTCCTCCTAATCCAACTTTTTTTGTTTCCCCCTTTTTCCTCCCGCCATTTTCTTTCCCTCTTTTCCCTCTTTCCCCCCTTTCTTCTTTTCTACTTTTCTTTTGCTTCATTGAAGGAAAAGATGGTTTTCGTTATTCCTTTCCTTCTTTGTGATGATTGTCTTGTCTTACATAACTGTGTATTATGTCTGAAAGAGATGGGGTTATTGGTCACTCTTGAAGTTTCTTCATCCAAAGAGCTGTATTTTTTATGCTCTTTCTGTAAACTCGGATAAAAGCTGGAAGGATAGGATGTACATGTGATTTGTGGAGTTAGGGAACTCTTGCACTTGCCCCCCTTCCTCTCTTTGCTTTCATGAAGAGAGTAAAAAGGATTTATTCAAGCTGAAGTAATATTGCTGGCTCGCAGGAGAGAACGGTTCAGCTCTGCAGTTTAACCTTTGCTACACTTGAAACTTTCAAAGTGAAAACTGTAATAATTAGATAATATTCTTGTGCATTAACCATTTACTCGATTACATTTCCCATGATTTCTTACAAAGCTTAGTTTATAATTTGCCATCAGTTCCATTTATGTCTTAATGTTTGGAGTAAAAGGGGGCTGTGAAGTGTGGTGGTACCTATGCCTATTGGGGGGGGGGGGGGGGCAAATCTTCCTCATTGTGCGTGCGCGTGCCATGGGTGTGTACGATATAAGCAGCTATGCCAATGTGATTACAAGTAGCAAGTTTGGAGCAAGGCATCATTCCCCCTCCCCCCTCCCCTCCTTTGATAATGGTGTCTGAGCCAGTTTGTGCGCACTTAGATAATTTTATCGGGTGCTTGTTACCTTTAACCATCACACGTACCGAGTTACTTTGTCCAAAGATTACGTCGACGGGAAGAAATATTTTAGGGTGATTTTTCTTCATTTAGGATTTGGTCTCTGGTCTTTTATGTTTCCTCTGATGCACGATTTTCTTCTAAGTTGGACAAATATTAATTCACTGTTCCAAATGCAGGGAAGGCATTGTTTAGCTAGTTTTCACTTGAAATTGCACGTAACATAAAATGGCATCTTGACATTTTCCTTGTGAATATCACATTATACTGAATCAACTAGCCTATCGTAGGCGATAATAGCTTTTTACATGTGACTATCTTCTTTCAGTTAGATTACTTCTCACAATGATAGCTGACAAGTCTGCTCCCCTAATGTTCCAAAATTTCAGGTTTTAGATACTTCCTCTACATTGGGATGTGATTTTACCTCCTCTAGATACTTCCTCTACATTGGGATGTGATTTTACCTCCTCCTAGTTGAGGAGCTTTATATTAATCCTTTGGCTAGTGTTGATTAGTTTCTATCTCAGTAGCTACTGTACTTGTAGCCTAATTTATTGGTTTGATTCCTAATTTTTGTAAGTTTAGCCTATATTAATGGTAAGAAAATAATATTGTATGCAATGTAGTAGATGGAATAGTTATTTTGGTTAAGTTCATAATGGTAGATCATTGTTTGGCACTTCAGTTTCCATGTGGAGAAATTATCTAGTGTTGATGTTAGAGTATCCACCTGTTTCATGGCTTTTTGTCTACTCTTGGGG